GTTCACGTTACCATGGTTACCGTGTCTGCGTTACGAGATCACGTCACCATGGTTACCGTGTCTGTGCGTTACCATGTCTGCATTACCAGTTCACGTCACCATGGTTACCGTGTCTGCGTTACGAGCTCACATCACCATGGTTACCGTGTCTGTGCGTTACGAGTTGACGTAACCTTGGTTACCGTTCCCGTACGTTACGCGCTCACGTCACCATGGTTACCGTGTCTGTGCGTTACGAGCTCACGTCACCATGGTTACCGTGTCTGTGTGTGTGCAGGGAGCGGAGTGAGCAGTTCAAACCTCAAACCGGGTAAGCCCCCCCCCCTACTCGCCCCCCCCTACTCGCACCCCCCCCCTACTCGCACCCCCCCCCCTACTCGCACTCCCCCTACTCGCACCCCCCCCCTACTCGCCCCCCCTTACTCCCACCCCCCCTACTCGCACCCCCCCCTACTCGCACCCCCCCCTACTCGCACCCCCCCCTACTCGCCCTCCCTTACTCCCACCCCCCCTACTCGCACTCCCCCCTACTCGCACCCCCCCCTACTCCCACCCCCCCCCCCCTACTCGCACCCCCCCCTACTCGCACCCCCCCGCCTTTGGCCACTATAAATGTCCGCATGATGCCGATACTGAGTCACGTGGTGGAGCTGTCGGTGGTGGTAGCCCGGTCGCTTCTGTGAAAGGTCTCCACAGCTGATTGGGCCTCACCTGGTCAAATACAACTTGTTTAGGTTGGGGGAGCGGGGATCGTGATGGTGGTGGTGATGCTTATGACGACGACGATGGTGGTGATGGTGATGACGATGGTGGTGGTGGTGGCAGTGATGGGGACGATGATGATGGTGATGATGGTGATGACGATGGTGGTGGTGGTGGTGGCAGTGATGGCGACGATGATGATGGTGATGACGATGGTGGTGGTGGTGGCAGTGATGGCGACGATGATGATGGTGATGACTAAGATGACGATGTTGACGACGATGTTGACGATGTGTAGCCTCGTGTGCCGGCCGTGCTCGGAGCGCCGCCGCCACCTGTTCGTGCAGGACACCTCGTCGTGCACGTGCTCCTGCAAGTTCTCACGCGAGCGCTGCCGGCAGCGTGGACAGGAGCTCAACCCCCACTCGTGCAGGTGGGCGGCCCCCACCACAAGTGCCCACCTCCACCCTCCCTCGCCCCCTCCCCTCCCCTCCCTCCCCCTCCTTCGCCTCCCTCCCTTCCCTCCCTCCCCCCCTCCATCTCCTTCCCCTCCCTCCCTCGCCCCCCTCCCTCCCCCTGGCTGGAATCACGCCCTTGCGCCTCCGTCCCTCCCTTCCCCAGCTACAGTCAGTTGGTGGTCGTCGTAGTGGTGGTGTAGTGGTGGTTGTTGTGTTGGTGTAGTGTTGGTGTAGTGGTGGTGGTGTGGTGGTGTCGTGGTGTAGTGATGGTGTAGTGGTGGTGTAGTGGTGGTGTAGTGGTGGTTGTTGTGTTGGTGTAGTGGTGGTGTAGTGGTTGTCGTAGTGGTGTTGTGTTGGTGTAGTGGTGGTGTAGTGGTGGTGTAGTGGTTGTTGTGTTGGTGTTGTGTTGGTGTCGTGGTAGTGTAGTGGTGGTGTAGTGTTGGTGTAGTGGTGGTGTAGTGGTGGTTGTTGTGTTGGTGTAGTGGTGGTGTAGTGGTTGTCGTAGTGGTGTTGTGTTGGTGTAGTGGTGGTGTAGTGGTGGTGTAGTGGTTGTTGTGTTGGTGTTGTGTTGGTGTCGTGGTGGTGTAGTGGTGGTGTAGTGTTGGTGTAGTGGTGGTGTAGTGGTTGTCGTAGTGGTGTTGTGTTGGTGTAGTGGTGGTGTAGTGGTGGTGTAGTGGTTGTTGTGTTGGTGTTGTGTTGGTGTCGTGGTGGTGTAGTGGTGGTGTAGTGGTGGTGTAGTGGTGGTGTAGTGGTGGTGGTGTAGTGGTGGTGGTGTAGTGGTGGTGTAGTGGTGGTGTAGTGGTGGTGGTGTTGTAGTGGTGGTGTAGTGGTGGTGTTGTAGTGGTGTTGTAGTGGTGTTGTAGTGGTGGTGGTGTTGTAGTGGTGGTGTAGTTGTGGTGTTGTAGTGGTGGTGTAGTGGTGGTGTAGTGGTGGTGTCATGCTCTCTGTGTCGCTGTGTGTATCCCTCGTGCCGTGTCCGTCCCGCGTGCTGCTGAGAAGATGCGAGCGGCCGAGGCGGTGATGATGGACGCGACACCGCCACTCGGCACTGCCCTCCCAGCGCTGCCCTTCTCGGGCTGCCCGGCAAGAATCCGCAGCGCGGCCCTCCCAGCGCTGCTCATCCAGCGCTGCCCTCCCAGCGCTGCGATCTAAGCATCCGCAGTGCTGCCCTTGGACGACAGCCCTCCGGGCATCCTCAGAGCTGCCCTCCCAGCGCTGCCCTCCCTGCCCTCCCCCACCCCCCGGCGAGCCCGTGGAGGGGAGCTGCTGGCAAGAGAGGAGGTGGGGGGGGTCTCTCCATGGTGGCACAGCAGAGTGGGTGGAGGGAGGGGGAGCTGCCACTGGAGAGGACCCGCCTGCCCGCCTGCCCGCCTGCCCGCCTGCCCGCCTGCCCGCCTGCCCGCCTGCCCGCCTGCCCGCCTGCCCGCCTCCCCGCCTCCCCGCCTCCCCGCCCCCCCGCCCCCCATCTCGCTGCCTGGCGGGAAGGAGCAGCGTGGAGGAGCGTGGCACCCCCCTCTGTGCGCTGCGGGCGGTAGCCACGATGACCGCTCCCTGCTCCTTCTTCTTCTTCAAGAGGAGCGTCAGCACTCATCCCTGGAGAGACGACGACGACCACGACGAGTCCGCTCGCTCTTCACCGCTGTGGCGGCGGTGGCGGTGGGCAGAAGCGCAGAGGCACCACAGCGGCGGAGGGCAGCGTTCGTTTGTGACGTCTCAAGCCTCAGCAGCTACAGCAGCGGCAATGTTACAGCTCCCTCCGCGGAACCAGCTGGGCCTGGATTGGTCGATTCTCAAGCTGGACCTGGATTGGTCGATTCTAAAGCTGGGCATGGATTTGTCGACTTCTCGAACTGGGCATGGATTGATCGATTCTCAAGCTGGGCATGGATTGGTCGATTCTCAAGCTGGGCATGGATTTGTCGACTTCTCGAACTGGGCATGGATTGATCGATTCTCAAGCTGGGCATGGATTGGTCCATTCTCAAGCTTGGCATGGATTTGTCGATTCACGCCGCCCGGAATGCAAGTGTGTGCAATACGCAGCGTGCGGACATGCAAATTAGGGTTGCCCTGTGCCCTGCTGCCCATACCTCGCTGCCCCCCGTCGCTGGAGCCACGTTACCCGGGACACGTGGGAGGTTGGGGACACGTGGGAGGTTGGGGACACGTGGGAGGTTGGGGGCTCGAGGGCCGCCGAGCGAGGGGGCAACGGCCGCGCGAGTGGGAAGGATTATGACGATGGGAATGATTGTGACGATGGGAAGGATTATGACGATGGGGAGGATTTTGACGATGGGGAGGATTATGACGATGGGAAGGATTATGACGATGGGGAGGATTTTGACGATGGGAAGGATTATGACGATGGGAATGATTATGACGATGGGAAGGATTATGACGATGGGAATGATTATGACGATGGGACTGATTGTGAGGTCATTTTCCCCGAATCTCGAGCCGGCTGCAAGGATTGATTCCCGTTTCTGATAAACGCCAATTCGCAGAAACGCATCCCCCCTCGAGCTCGGCACGCCGGTTAATCATCGGCGTCTCCTTGCCGTGCCCGTGCCTCCACACCACCAGGCACCCCGAGTATTTTCACAATGCGTCATGAATTTCCCGGCTTTAATCATAATCTTAATGGCGAATTATTTACCCAGGAAAGGAACCCTGAGTCGTCCGATGACTCTCTGACAGGACGATCCTGCTATATTGGGATGTTTGGCCAAAACCAAGTTACGGTGGTGAGATGTTAACTACCTCGCCTGGTTCGCAGCAGGTCGTGGGTTTGATCCCGACCCTGATGCCTGCTGCTGTCTATTTGAAGTTTGCGTGTCTCTCTCCCCTCGTGGTCGTGTGGATTCTTCTCCGGCTCCTCTGGTTTTTCCCTACACATTTAGAAGCGCTGCGTTTAGGGAGTATTTGGCTGCTGCTATAAATGTCGACGTGATCAGCGACTCCATTGAGTTCTCATTTGTGATGGCCAGATGGCTTCTGAAGAGGGCTACATAGCTCAGTGGGCCTTACCTGGTAAAACACAAAGTAAAACTTTTTAATGACTTTGCATGGGTGGAAATGTGGAGATCCTTGAGGAAGCACCTCGTGTAGAACAGGGGGAGAAATACAGACTGGGCTCACAGAGAGTACAGACTGGGCTCACAGAGAGTACAGACTGGGCTCACATAGAGTACAGACTGGGCTCACAGAGAGTACAGACTGGGCTCACAGAGAGTACAGACTGGGCTCACAGAGAGTACAGACTGGGCTCATAGAGAGTACAGACTGGGCTCATAGAGAGTACAGACTGGGCTCACAGAGAGTACAGACTGGGCTCACAGAGAGTACAGACTGGGCTCACAGAGAGCACAGACTGGGCTCACAGAGAGTACAGACTGGGCTCACAGAGAGCACAGACTGAGCTCACAGAGAGTACAGACTGGGCTCATAGAGAGCACAGACTGGGCTCACAGAGTACAGACTGGGCTCACAGAGAGTAAAGACTGGGCTCACAGAGAGCACAGACTGGGCTCACAGAGAGTACAGACTGGGCTCACAGAGAGTACAGACAGCTCATAGAGAGCACAGACTGGGCTCACAGAGAGCACAGACTGGGCTCACAGAGAGTACAGACTGGGCTCACAGAGAGTACAGACTGGGCTCACAGAGAGTACAGACTGGGCTCACAGAGAGCACAGACTGGGCTCACAGAGAGCACAGACTGGGCTCACAGAGATTAAAGACTGGGCTCACAGAGAGTACAGACTGGGCTCACAGAGAGTACAGACTGGGCTCACAGAGAGCACAGACTGGGCTCACAGAGAGCACAGACTGAGCTCACAGAGAGTACAGACTGGGCTCATAGAGAGCACAGACTGGGCTCATAGAGAGCACAGACTGGGCTCACAGAGAGTACAGACTGGGCTCGCAGAGAGTACAGACTGAGCTCACAGAGAGTACAGACTGGGCTCACAGAGAGTACAGACTGGGCTCACAGAGAGTACAGACTGGGCTCACAGAGAATACAGACTGGGCTCGCAGAGAGTACAGACTGGGCTCACAGAGAGTACAGACTGGGCTCACAGAGAGTACAGACTGAGCTCACAGAGAGTACAGACTGGGCTCACAGAGAGTACAGACTGGGCTCACAGAGAGTACAGACTGGGCTAACAGAGAGTACAGACTGGGCTCATAGAGAGTACAGACTGGGCTCACAAAGAGCAAAAAATATATAGACGACGTTTAAGGCAATTACCCTTCTTCATGGCACATGCACTAAACTATGTTTTATATTTCACCAGCTGAGGCCCATTAAGCCGTGCAGCTCGCAGGCGAGCGCTGCCATCACCGATGATAGCTCGACGAAGTGGCTCGTCATCATCGTCGTCATCATCGTCGTCATCATCATCGTCATCGTCGTCGTCATCGTCGTCGTCATCATCGTCGTCGTCATCGTCGTCGTGGTGTGGAAGTTTATGGCGTGGTGATGTTGATTCTGAAGGTGGAGGGGCAAAGCGGAGGGCCCGGAGAACAATTCACGCGACCACGGGGGGAGAGAGAGACGCAGACTCCACGTGTAGAGCAGCAGCAGCAGGCGTCGTCAGGGTCGGGATCGAACCCGCGACCTCCTGCACACCAGGCGAGGTAGTCAACATCTCGCTACCGTGGCGAGGTGTGGAGGAGACGAGGTGGAGGCTGCTGCACGTGTTTATAAAGTCACGGGGCCCTGGTCACAATGACGTTTTCGATGTTTTGCGATGAGCCAGTTTTGTGAATAGGCGCGTGAATAGATAATTTTAGTGGCTATTGAGTAATAGTCGCTATTGAGTAACAGATAACCCGCTTCGATAATCAAAAACGCATTACTAATAGACTAATTTGTATACAAACGAGGTTATTTAGCAATATTATGTAACTTGCAAAACTGGTCAACGGTTAAACATTATTCTAAATTGTAATTGTCATCAGCGCCCCGTGGTGTACACACGCGCCCCCACTCTGCCTCTCTGCCTGGAGAAGGGCCATTGCCCGAAACGTCGGCTGGTATGCATGCTTTACTTGAAGGTCACAAAGACAAAGATCCCCCTCATAGCCGTAACAGACTGTTGGGGCAAGTGCTGTTAGCGAGTAGCACCTACGAAGGCCGGCACGGCACGGGAGGGGGTGGGTGGCCAGCACCACGCCCGGCCGCCTTTGTCTCCCCAGTGGCGATGTCTTCACATCGCACCAGGTACTCATTTGAGGCTGAGTCGGCCTAGGGGAAGCTCAGCACCGGTTCAGATAATCGTCACCGACGCGGGTGGCCGTGAGCGGGAATCGAACTCGGGTCGCCAGCGTCCGCGGCGCTAACCGTTGCGCCACCGCTCCCGCAAGCCGTGTCGGTGACGGCGCTCGTGTCGATGTTGTGGCCAGCCGAGTGTTGCTCCGCGCATTCCCTGATACCCTCGCCTTTTAAATCACGAAGCGCCTTGCCACGAGCGAGGCCGAGAGACCGGTGGCGACCGTTCGCCACCGGTCATGGGAAGCGATGAGCACGCTGTGGGGTCACGGCTTCCCCTCCGTGAGTCCACCACACTCCTGTCTCAGTGTGCTGTGAGGATGACCTCCACCCCGCCTCCATCCCTCCCCCTCCATCCCCCCCTCCATTCCTCCCCCTCCATCCCCCCCCCTCCATCCCCCCCCTCTACATCCCCCCCCTCCATCCCCCCCCTACATCCCCCCCCTACATCCCCCCCTCCATCCCCCCTCCTCCATCCCCCCCCCTCCATCTCTCCCCCCCCCCTCCACCCCACCCTCCATCCCCCCTCCACCATCCTCCCTATCCCCCCCCTCTCCATCTCCATCCCCCGCCCACGCTCTTGACCTTCCAAGGGGTCACGCGCTCGAGGAGATACGGGGGGGAGGGGCGGGGGGGTTTGTTTCGTTCTGAGCGGAACTGCCGGAGGGCGAGCATCAGTGGACGGGAGTGAGCGTGTGTGTGAGTGTGTGTGTGTGAGTGTGCGAGTGTGTGTGTGTGAGTGTGTGTGTGAGTGTGTGTGAGTGTGTGAGTGAGTGTGAGTGTGCGTGTGTGCGTGCGTGTGTGCGTGCGTGTGCGCGTGCGTGTGCGTGTGTGTGTGTGCGTGTGTGAGCGTGCGTGTGTGAGCGTGTGTGTGTGCGTGTGTCGGTGCGTGTGTGTAGTGGGAGCGATAGTGTTAGCGCGCTGTGCTATGAACCCAGCGACACGGGTTCGATTCCGGCTCACGGCCAACACCAGTGAAGATTATCTGAACCGGTTCTGGGCCTCCCCTAGGTCGACTCAGCCTCAAATGAGTACCTGGTGCAGTGTGTAAACATTGCCACTAGG